CCTCAAACGACGTAATCACAAGTATGCGTAACCAAAGTGCAGTATTTGCCATCATCATTTCCGATAGAGGCGCTGCATTTACTTCGCAGGACTTCTTGAAGTATTGCGACGAGGAAAACATCAAACCCATCAAGGCGACCACAGGACTTCCACGCGTGAACGGGCAAGTCGAGAGATTGAACGCCACTATAATATCAGTTCTCTCAAAACTAAGCATTGACGACCCAACCAAGTGGTACAAGCACGTCGACAAAGTTCAGCAGGCGATCAATTCCACATTTGCTAGATCGATCGCTACAACTCCATTTGAGCTTTTGATAGGTTCCAAAATGCGTACCAAAGAAGACGTCAAGCTACAAGACTTGATCAACAAGGAGGCGATAGCAGCGTACAGTGACGAGCGAACCGATTTAAGAAGCAAAGCAAAGACTCAAATTTCGAAGGTCCAGGACGAAAAAAGAAAGACCTACAACTTGCGACGCAAGCAAGCCAATCAGTATGACGTCGGTGACATTGTCGCAATTAAAAGGACACAATTTGGCAGCGGCCTGAAATTGAAACCTAAATACTTGGGTCCGTACAAGATTGTCAAATCGAAGGGCAATAACTCGTACGATGTTAAGAAGATCGGCAATTTTGATGGTCCTATTAATTCCTCGACTTGTGCTGAGTATTTAAAGCGCTGGTCAACACCTGATAACGACGAAGATGCATTCGAGGCGAAAGCATAGCAGGAGGGCCGAAAGTGGGGTGTGTCTGCTTTGGGAGGCTGTCATTCCACAATAAGTTTACCCTAGACAACAACCTTTTTGAGCTAAACGAGATCAACGACGAAATGCAAGAACAGACGATATAAAGAAGTAAAGAAGAAAGACGAAAGACGAGAAGTAAGAGAGATTAAAGACGAACGACGAGAAGACGACAAGAACCAAGGAGGAGTTGAGTTCAAGCCTTTGACGAGAACGGTCCTAAGACGTTGGCCAGAAGACGAAAAAAGACGCGTGAAATTCAAATTTACCAGTGTTAATTTCTTTATACTATACTTAACCAAATATAAACTACAAATAAACTTAAATACACTCAGAAAAAAAATCGACCTGAATTTTAGAAAATCGCCATACTTTTTAAGCCAAAGGCAGCTCGCCTTGCTTTTTAGAAAAAATATTTCTAAAAATTAAAAAAAAAATTTCTTAAATTTAGGGTTAGTTTTTGCAAAATCACTATGGACGGCAGTCCATGTAGTGACGAAGCGCACCAGGAGAGTGTGCGAAGGCGACTACTATTATATAGCCGCAAAATTGAAAATCTGCTGTGATAGTCCGATCGTAATGAGTAATACACCAATCGAAAGGTATTGCAAAAACTTAAAGGATTGCATACCAAGACTTTAAGAAAATCAATTGGCTTGGGGGAGAGAGCGGTGAAAGTGAAAAAGTGAAAATTTCGAAATTTGGAGCTGTTGGGGCCGGTGGGGATAAATGCCCCCTCGCAATGTTTTAGTTGTATTCCTTTTGAAAATACCCGTCGAATGAGGGGTCATTTGTCGAAATCCGACGCTCCGTTCAAAAGTTATAGCCAAAATAAGATTTTCTTCTTCTTCCCAAAATGAAATTTTAATTCTGTTTGTCAGTTTGTCCACTTGTCCACTTGTCCACTTGTCCACTTGTCCACTTGTCCAAAATATGTTTTTTAAGTTCTGAAAATTTGATATGACGTTCATCACATCGATATAAAAAACTTTTGTTCTACCACTTTTGCAAAAACCCGCTAGTTTAGCGGGAAAACAGCTATAAATAGCTAAAATTCGGAAAGCCGTAACTTCTATACTACTAAAGCTACAGACTTGTGCTGCATCTCGTTTGAAAGGTATTTATAAATGCTATAAACGCCTTGTAAATGCAATTTGTGTAAATGAATTAGTTAAAAAGATATGAACAAAAGAAAATTTGTTTAAACTTTTTTTATGGTTTTTTAATTTTCTCAAAAACGGCTCTAACGATTTTTCTTACAACTTTAAACTGTATAGCCCTTGAGATTCCTTAAATTTTGGTATATAACACATTACTGTAAAAAGTCACGTTTAAAAGTTATTTTTATACGAAAATAGACACTTTTGCCAGCTCGAACAATTAACGCTCCCTGAGTATTGAATTTTGTGGGAGGGTATCCGAACTGTATTTTAGGGTCATGGAATCAGTAAATTTGCACTTAAGAGTTCCATATAGGAATCTTTTGTTCTACGACTTTTGGAAAAAGCCGCTACTTTAGCGGGAAAAAAAGCTAAAAATGGCTAAATTTCGTTAGTTTTTAAGTTCTACACTATTAAAGGTACTGACATGTGCTATACCTCGTTTAAAAGGTATTTTGAAATACTTCAACGCCTTTTTAACTTAATTCGTTAAAATACAATTGTTTAAAAATAATGATTGACCAATTTAAATTTAAATGTTTACATTAGCACCTATGAGAGCAAAAGTAAACAAACAAAAACTTCTGATATCAAATAAAAACACCTCTAAACGAGGTAAAAAACTAGTGACGATCGCACCTTCAACGTACAAAAGTTCTGATATCAACTTTTGTGACGAAAAATGATTTTAGATGCGACTAAATAAGTGCGTTACCTAAAATTTATTCATTCGGACGCTACAACAAAAAACTTTCGTGTAGATATTAAATATTTGCTAAAGCGGGCCGAATGAATACATTTTAGGTCACGTACTTATTTAGTCGCATCTAAAATCATTTTTCGTCACAAAAGTTGATATCAGAACTTTTGTACGTTGAAGGTGCGATCGTCACTAGTTTTTTACCTCGTTTAGAGGTGTTTTTATTTGATTGAATAAGAAGAAGAAAAAAAAAATCGGGAAATCGGGAGTTATGCCGACCGCACCCCTCTGTCGGTGTGGGGTGTTGTTGTTGGGGTTCCCGTTTCTCAACTTATTGTTCTCTCCTCTATTTAAACACATGGATGACGTCACGATGTTTGTACACAAACACACTTTTAATCTTAAATTGTAACTGAAATAATAACTGAAATTATTATATTATTTATTAATGATAAACATAAAAATCAAATAACTTACTATCTTGAGAAAAACATTTGGGTCGCTCGCGGGATTCGAACCCCTTACCTCACAGTTTGCAGTCAAACACTCTACTTGCTGCGCCAGGGAAGCATCACGAGAGGCGCTGTACAAAGTACATTCTCATTCTGTTCTTTTGGGTTCTAGGTTTATAGTCTTTTTTTTCCATTATGTGTGTGTTAGTTTACCTAAATCCTTATTTGTATTAAAGTATACATATTAATGCGCAAAACAAAAAATAAAAAGACGCAAAAAATGTCCGCCTCGACGTGGGATCGAACACACGCTTCCGAATATAAGCGTAGAAAACAAATAAACCGCTCGCATTAGACCCCCAGGCTACCGATTGGGCCAATTTTCTAAAATGTAAGGCGATTTTTTCTAAGTTTGAAAGAAAAATTTCTGAATAACAGAAAATTTTTCTAAAAGTGGATAACAAGAGGAGTTGATCTAATCAGGGTAAGTTTTTCTCATTATTTAGAAAAATATTTCTGAAAAATAGAAATATTTTCTGAATTTCAAGGCGATTTTCAAAGTATGGCGATTTTCTAAAATTTAGGGCGATTTTTTTTCTGAGTGTACTTAAACGATAAACTTAAAAATCCCACATATATAGTATAAATATAAATAGTATAATAGTATAAATAGTAGCGACCATAGATGCCACAAGTGTGGAAAGGACCACCACACTTTACTATATAAGGACGACCGATCTTTTCTTTCGACGTTTGCCTGAGTCTGCAATCCTGAAGTTCTTGCTACTTTGTGCGTGTTTAAGAAATTGTTTAACAACGGTTAGAAAGATTTCAGCTCTATATTGGAAATTTGAACAAGAAAGAATTTTTCTTGTTTAAAAGGTGCCTTTCTAAAAAACCCTTTCTTGAAACAAGAAATTTAATTTCTTGAAGCAAGAAAGAAAGCACCTTTGAAACAAGAATCGCCTTTCTTGTTTCAAGAAATATTTTTTCTTCTTTTAATGGTGGGTTTCTAAAAAACCATTTCTTGTTTTAAGAAATTTAATTTCTAGTTTCATGAAATATTTTTTCTTGTTTTAAAGGTGCCTTTCAAAAAAACCATTTCTTGAAACAAAAGCAAGGTCACCTTTGGCAAAAATTCAAGAAAAAATTTTCTAGATTTAACGGAAATTCTTCGATTTTTTTTTATGAGTGTATGTCGGAGCGAGCCGGATCGGACCACTATATCTTAAGGCTCCCATAGGAATATTCAAACAAATATAAGAAAATTAATTGTAACTTTGTAGGAAGTAGGCGTTTTGATTTTTGACAACTTAAAAACAAAATTATCCTTGGAACCGCACTGAGTGAGCATTAAACTATAGGTGTTTGCTTTATCTGCAAGGGTATATAAGCTTCGGCTGGCCGAAGGTAGCTTCCTTTGTTGTTTTTTTTTAAAAAGCTAGTATACAATACTAAAATTAATTTAAAGAAAAAATGGCACTGGAAACTGAAGGCTTTCGGCCAAAAAATGATATTAAATCGTGTCATTGTTCGTTTTGTCTTTTATAATTTTTTTGGTGCGGGTGGAGTTTAGTAATTACTCCCACATTTTTATATTGCAGTTCTAAGTTTGTAAATAACGTACGGTAAACAAACCAGCATGTTAATATTACATAAATTGAATTTTTAATTGCCTTCTCATGTAAACGCAACCACTCAGAAAATCGTTCCTATGGAAGCTATAGGATATAGTGGTACGATCTGGCCAATTTTTGTAACATATATTTATAATATTTATTTAGATTTTTGGTAAAAATTTCATAGCGATAGCACATCTAGAAGTATTTATGGCCGCGGCTCCATACAAGCCCGACCACTGTGCAATGGAAGCGTCTGTGTGCACTTCTGTCTCGAGTTTGTGATTGTAAATGCTCAAAACTGGATTTGCGGTCAAAATCTACTTCAATTGGCTTACTGACATTTCTTCTTTGGGACCCATGACAAATTTTGTGTTGTTCTTCGTTAGATCAGTGAGAGGCTTAGAAATAATGGCATAATTCTGTATGAATTTTATGTTTTTCTTCGTTAGATCAGTGAGAGGCTTTGAAATAATGGCATAATTCTGTATGAATTTCCTGAAATAACCCGTTAAACCCAAGAAACTTTCTAGTTGCTTCAACGTTTGTGGTGATTTAAATTTGGCCACAGCATCTATCTTCTCAGGGGTTGGATAAATCTTATGATTTTCAATAATATGGCCGAGGAATTGTATACGTGTTTTTAAAAAATGACATTTTTTAAGATTCAACTCGAGACCATATTCTGAACAGGTGTCAATAACCTCCCTCAGGTTACGCAATGAGCTTTCTTCATCCATAGCCGGTATGATGACGTCATCGATGTAAGGCAGAGCGACGCCTTTGCGAGTCAGCTCACGAAAAATTGCGTTAACATGCCGCTGGAAAACGCCAGGAGAGTTTGAAAGGCCAAAAGGTACCTTTAAAAACTGATATTGTCCACTTTGTGTGACAAAGGATGTGTATTTTCGGCTGGGCTCTGAGACAGGAACATGAAAAAATCCATTTTTCAAATCGATCGTGTGGAAAATCTTGGCATCTTGGAGTCTGTCCAGCTGATCGTCGATTAAAGGCAAGGGGAAATGGTCTTTAACGATTACCTTATTGATCCTGCGAAAGTCGATGCAAAGTCTTGGAGAGCCGTCACGCTTTTTTACCATTACCACTGGGCTGGTGAACTCGGAGTCAGACACTTCTATGATTCCAGTTTGAAGCCATTCGTCAACCTGCTCCTCTACCAAACGTGTCTCAGCAAAAGGCAAGCGCCTTGGTCTGGCAAATATCGGGGTCTCGTCCTTCAGGATAATGCGCATCTCGATTTTGGTGGTCTTCAGGTGAAGCGGTTTGTAGTTGTGTATGATTTTGCGTACTTCGTTTTTGGCAAACATACTTGCTTGCTCGTTGATATTAAGTTCGTTGGAATTCTCTACGACATCGATTTTCATCACGTTGATTAGATTATTTTGTTCTACCGGACTCGGCATCTTTCGCACTTGCAAACCGTCGCGGTTGAAAATAATTTCAGCATGTAAACAGATTTCTTCGCCGACAATCAATTGAAAATCCATGCAACCGATTGGAACAACGTAAAAGTCCAATTCGAACTCGTTATTGTCAATGAAAATCGTCTCTTTGAAAAGTCCAATTGGACGTATATTGTTCGCTTCGCGCTCGCTACCGAAACCAATTAGAGATACACTACAGTCTTGCAGTCTCGGACGTTGTATACCGTTGTACAGATCTTCGCGAACCAGGTGGAATTTGCTTCCGGTGTCGAACAGAGCTACACACTTTTCGTTAGCTAGAACAACTTCTTTGCTTGTAAGATTACTTTTAGACCGCACTCGATGGGTGTTCACTTTGTTGCTCTCGGCTTTTTCGTTTTCGTTACAATTGCGCGAAATATGTCCGTACTGGTTACACTTAAAACATTTAGTGCCGCGCTCTTTGTTTTTGCAATTATTGGACAGGTGTCCTTTCTCACCACAATTGTAGCAAGTAGCCTCTTTTTTAAAGTTCTTGTTTGGTGCTGGCACTTTTTTGCTTTGAATCACGTCGTCGCTTTGCTTTGGTTTTTCGCGATCGTACACTTTCTCACGCTCGTTCTTTGTGACGTAACATTTCAGCTTCTCTTTGAACTCACTGATATTTCTGGCACCGTATAGAAGAGTTTTGTCAATTGAAAAATCGTCTATGCCATCAATTACGTATTGAATCAAAACCGAATCACAAATATCACCGCGAATTGCCAGATCCTTCATTCGGTACAAGTAAGCGAAACTACACTCGTCCTTTGCGCGTTTGCTTTTGCTCAACTGCTCGTGAATTTGTTTGCTGTTCACAATAGTTTTGAATTCGTTTAGGAGAGCAATTTTAAGCGCATTCCAGGTGCTCAAACCTCTCTCACTCATCATGAACAATCTAGCTGTTCCTTTCAGCGATTTTTTCGCGAATATCAACTTCTGAACGTCGTTCCAGCACATTATTAAAGCTTGTTCATCAAACTCAGTTAACCACGACTCGATTGAAATTGAGTTAGTACCGTCAAAGGTGCGAATCGAGTCTTCCATGTCGCGAAAACTAAAAGAAAATCTGGGTGATGCCACCTCGTTGCAAAGTTTTGTCGACTTCTCTTTGTCTGCACTTTTTGCAAAATTCGGCGAGTTTTGCATTCCGTTTTGTTCTGCAACAAACTCGTCGTTTCGTGTGGATCTGCCGCTTACATATACTTCGCCATCTTCGTCTTCGTCGTCTGAGGAATCAATTTCATTGTGTGCGAGAAGCTTATTTTTCAGCAAATTGCGAAATATGTGCACACAAAAAAATTTTCTTGGTAAAATTTACCAACAAAGATAGTTACGTAACTATTAAATTAGTTACGAGTATTTTGTTTTTGCTTTGGGTTTGTGTCTTTGCTAATTGTGTGTATTTGGTTGTTGTGAAATGACTATTTACTTAGTATAATTGACAATTTTGCTGGTTGGGGCCTGTTTGACAATTATTACAGTTGATTTTACCAAGTTTTTTTTTTGTGTGGAGTCCGACGTCGTCTACGTTGTAGGTGATGTTCAACACATTGCAAATTGATGCCAGATCGCGTTCGTTTAGATTTTCCTGCACGTACCTTTCCTTCGCTAAGTAATTTTCCGAGCTTTCGTCGAAGTCAAAACCGGAAAAATCTCGAAGTCGTTGGCGGTTGCCTCTATCACCCTCGTTCTCAAAAATGTATTTGTGGAAGGCTAAAATGTTCTCCTTCTTGCTTTTGCGCAAATTTTCACTTATGTGGTCATTTAAGCAGCTCATGGTGGTGAAAAATTAAATTTTAAGTCGTCAAATTAGGTTTTAAATTGTTACACACATCGTTTTTCGCAAATTTGGTACGTCTTCGATTTTTGCTAGTTTTCTTCGCGCGCGTCTTCGGTTTTTCTTTTCACTGGTTTTACTTATCCCCGGCGAGCTCCCAAATGTGGAATTTTTAAGTTTACCGTTTAAGTATTTAAGTTTATTTGTAGTTTATATTTGTTTAAGTATAGTATAAAGAAATAAACACTGGTAAATTTGAATTTCACGCGTCTTTTTTCGTCTTCTGGCCAACGTCTTAGGACCGTTCTTGTCAAAGGTTTGAACTCAACTCCTCCTTGGTTTTTGTCGTCTTCTCGTCGTTCGTCTTTAATCTGTCTTACTTCTCGTCTTTCGTCTTTCTTCTTTACTTCTTTATATCGTCTGTTCTTGCATTTCGTCGTTGATCTCGTTTAGCTCAAAAAGGTTTATGTCTAGGGTAAACTTATTATGGAATGACAGCCTCCCAAAGCAGACACACCCCACATATATACTATAATTATACACAACAAAATTGCATTTATACTTCTCGAAAATCTTTAAAGGTGTGGGCGCCAGTCACATTTTAGAATTGTTAGTGGGCGATTGTGGGCGTTAGAGGGGGCGTGGCGCTCGACTGAAATAAACCTAAACTAGGAAGCCAAAGAATATGTGTGAAAAATCTCAACCTTCTAGCTTTTGTAGTTTCCGAGATCTCAGCGTTCATACGGACGGTCAGACGGACGGACAAGGCTATATCGACTCGGCTAGTGACCCTGATCAAGAATATATATACTTTATAGGGTCGGAAACGCTTCCTTCTCCCTGTTACATACTTTTGCACGAATACAATATACCCTTTTTCTCTACGAGTAACGGGTATAAAAATATATAATCTATTAGTAATTCCATATTTAGTGTTGGAAAACTATTCACAATCACGAAAGACGAAGACAAAGGAACAGCACAACTAGTAAAAAGCGGCAAAAAATTTGTTTTTCGGCCAGTTCTGCCCTTGAAAAATTTATGAAGGTGTTAGTATTTTTTACGATTGTAGGACATCTGCAAATTTCTGCAGTCAATTTTAACACACATGTTACCTAAAACCCAGACGAATTGGCATACCAACAAATTGTGGAATTTTGTGGGATCATCACTAAATCCTTAGCTAAACATAAAAAAGACGTTCACAAAATAGACACAAAACATGTATTATTTCAAATTGATGTAACGAGAACAATTTAACAAGTACGATTATTATACACATCTCGATTTATAGATAATACCTTCAACTTCAAAATCCATATCACAGAATATTAATTTGGACACGAAATATGAGAAATACACGGTTTCAAAGTTTAATGTTGCTGCGAAAAATTAGTGATGCGCGCAGTTTTGCTTTGCAACTTAACACGTGCTCACGACTTTAGGTCGATTTTTAGAAAGTACCGATATTTTTCCAGAAAAGTCTGGTATGCCACGAAGAAGCTTGGGCATTTTAGAGAAAAGTTGCATGCCCTTTGCCCATTTTAGGTTCCGTCGATTTTTTTAATTTTGGCCTAAGGGCGCATCATATATATGTGCATCGTAATTTGATTGAATCAAAGCCTATGAGCTACTGAAGTAATTTGCTCACCTCTATTCTGACTGAGACGAAGCCGACTTAAACGATCAAAATAATGACTAAGTCGAATATGAAGCGCAAGCAAGCAGTGATTGAGCTCGGTTAAGCAGGAAAACCAGCCAGCGTTTCGATCAAAAACAAAAATCAGAGCCAGAGGCATTGCTTACATTGCGGTTCGATTGGGCATGTAAGAGCTGAATGTACACACAAAAAAATTTGCTTGGTAAAATTGACCAACAAAGATAGTTACGTAACTATTAAAATAGTTACGTGTATTTTGTTTTTGCTTTGGGTTTGCGTCTTTGCTAATTGTGTGTATTTTGTTGTTGTGAAATGACAATTTACTTAGTAGAATTGACAATTTTGCTGGTTGGGGCCTGTTTGACAATTATTACAGTTGATTTTACCAAGTTTTTTTTTTGTGTGTAAATAGGAGTCGAAATGCTCATATCTCAAAGAATTCTGCAACTTCAATGCACTGAATATCGACATGGAGGTAATGAAATGCATACGCTATATATGGGCCGTTCTTTACAAACCGAAAAAAAATTTTCACGTTTTAGATTTGCCTGAAACTTTTTTTTAACATGTACTATTTGGAAAATAAGTAATCATATTATATTTTAATATATGCGCCATATTGTTAGTTACAATCGGTTTTTGTAAAAAGTTGTAGCCATTTTTATTTTTGAAATATCGAATTTTTTTAACAAGGCCTCAACTTTTTTTTATGATAAAACGTAGCAGCAAGTAGGCTTACTCTCTCATTCTTATCGGATCATTATGGAATTCAGGTTTTCTCATCGATTACTAGTCCTCTAACAATGTTTAATGATTAAAAGTTAAGTTTTAGGGGGGGAGTACACTTTGAACGTCCAAAAAGTAAGGCATTTTCGTTAATTTGTTTAAGCAATAAAACACTAAGGGAGGGCAAATATGTTATAACCCATTTATTACTCATCCTTCGAACTACAATTTGTATTTTTTTGAACTCGATTGAAGTCTCCCCGTGGCCGGTGCACCTGGTCGCGTAGGCGTCCTCGCGCGAAAGTCGGAAAACGGCGTGGGAAAATACTTCTTCCCATGTGATCCTGGAACATAAATAGAACAAAATCCTGATTAGTAATGAAATTTGGGTTAGAAATACGTATTCCGATTTTTTTTAAATAATTTTTTCAAAAGTTGTGGTTTTAGAAGAAAAAAGTCAGTTTTTCACACTAAAAATGCTTACAAAATCGTGGATTAAAAATCCATTTTTGACAAAATCGAAAATGTGGATACGTATTTCTAAGCAGAATTTAATTCTGAACAAGAAAACCTAGGCGATATCCAAACTTGATGATAACTGGTTAGAGTTATTTCCCACGCTAGTTTGAAAAACACCGTTTCGAGATAAACGCGTTAAAAGATTCAAATGCTCTCTCAGCGCGCCGGTACATGTTTCAGGAAGTCGCTTCGTATTAAGTATTTTGACAATTTCTGAATGACAAAAAGTAAAAAGTCATTTTTATATCTATTAACAAGAAAGGAAGCTACCTTCGGCCAGCCGAAGCTGGCATATATACCCTTGAAAATAAAGTAATGCTCACTCGGTGCAGTTCCAGGGATTCCAGATTCAGCGTTTCTATTTTAATTTTGTTTATACATAAGTAGTCAAGAAAAAAAACGCCTACTTCCTACAAAGTTACAATGAATTTTCTTATATTTGTTTGAATATTCCTTTGGGAGCCTTAAGATATAGTGGTCCGATCCGGCTCGCTCCGACATATGTACTACCTGCAATAGAAAGAAGACTTTCGGGAAAGTTTCATCGCGATGGCTTTAAAACTGAGAAACTAGTTCGCATAGAAACGGACAGACGGACAGATGGACAGACGGACATGGCTAGATAGACTCGGCTATTGGTGCTGATCAAGAATATATATACTTTATGTGGTCGGAAACGTCTCCTTCTCTGCGTTGCAAACATCTGACTGATTTTATAATACCCTCTACAAGGGTATAAAAAACTACAATGTATTTTTTCCGTTTTTTCCTATGGGAGCTATAGGAAGGCGTTTCCGACCACATAAAGTATATATTTTCTTGATCAGCATCATTAGCCGAGTCCTTCTAGCCATGTCCGTCTGTCCATCTGTCCGTCTGCCCGTTTATTTGCGCTATCTTTGACATTTTTATACCCTTGGAGAGGGTATTATGATTTCAGTCAGAAGTTTGCAACGCAGTGAAGGAGACGTTTCCGACCCCATAAAGTATATATATTCTTGATCAGCGTCACAAGACGAGTCGATCTAGCCATGTCCGTCTGTCCGTCTGTCCGTCCGTCTGTCCGTCCGTTTCTACGCAAACTAGTCTCTCAGTTTTAAAGCTATCGGGATGAAACTTTCGTAAAAGTCGTATTTCTATTGCAGGTAGTATATATGTCGGAACCAACCGGATCGGACAACTATATCTTATAGCTCCCATAGGAGGGATCAAAAAAAAAAAACGTAAAAAAATTCTAGCTCCAGTGTTTTTTGAAATTTTACCTTCTACTCTTGGGAATATTTTTTTTTATATATTTCTGAATTTCGGTTTTTTTGTTTTTTAAATCGGATCACGATATCATATAGCTGCCATAGGAACGGTCGAAAAATTAAATGAATATTTATGGGAAAAAAATTATATCTTTGTTGGTTTTTATTACATTCCCTTCTACTCTGGGATATGACTATTTTGAAATATTTCCAAATTTCGATTTTAATTTTTAAAAGATCGACCTACTATATCATATAGGTGTGATAGAAACGATCGAAAAATTAATGTGAAATAATAAGAAATTTAACATTTTTGCGATTTGTAAATTAATAAAATGACACTAGTTTACAGCAGAAATGCTCCCCAGCAATTGATGGCAAATTCTGTTAGTTTTAGACCCCTAGATCACGAAAATATAACTAATTTTTTTTTCGATGGCACAGTTTTTTTTTAAGATTTTTTAAAGTTGGAAATGTTAAATTTCGGACTTTTTTCGAATTTCTTCTTATATCTCGCCAGATATGCACTCGATTGGGCCAGTTTTAGTTTTATTTTAAAGTCAATAGATCAGAGCTTTACTTTGCCATACAGATCAATATGATTGGATGAGTAGTGGCAGCGCAGAAGCTCGACAAAGATGAAAAATGTGTTTTTTGGTCGTCTGTAAGTCGGCTGTATATATCTTAAAAACTCGAAATAAATCCGTTGAAAAATCAAAATGGGTACAAACTTAAAGTTTACATCCTACCGAATAAAACATGCCGGATATGGTCCAAATCCATGGAAAACTGGATTTATGGTGGATTTTTAAAGCTCGGATTTTTCCACTTTTTTTGGTTGACAT